AGAGCCTCATCCAGCTGTGTGTGGCGGCTAGAGATGTTCCGTCTCGGTGACAGCCTTGTGCGAGCTACGTGGGAGCTGGCCCCTCCACGCCGCGCTCCGCCCCGCCGCGCCCCGCCACGTCCGCTCGGCGTATGGGAAATTGGTGCCTCAGCCTCGCCGCGGTGTCCGCGCGGACCTTCCCCCCCGAGGGCACCGATTTGCCTGCCGCCGTCAGCGGCCGCGGCCGCGCGCACTCTCTATGTCTTTCCCTCTCTCTCTGCCCTATACCCCGTCATTAGCATTGATTGGGTTCCGCGCCGGCACACGCGCGCACGCCGAGGACATCGTCAGCAGTCCTGCAACACTCGCTTGTTCGACGGGACGGCCTACCCTCTGCGTCGCAGGGGCTCTGGGCGCCTGGTGGGCAGGCAGTCCCGCAACACTCGCTTGTTCGACGGGACGGCCTACCCTCTGCGTCGCAGGGGCTCTGGGCGCCTGGTGGGCAGGCAGTCCCGCAACACTCGCTTGTTCGACGGGACGGCCTACCCTCTGCGTCGCAGGGGCTCTGGGCGCCTGGTGGGCAGGCAGTCCCGCAACACTCGCTTGTTCGACGGGACGGCCTACCCTCCGCGTCGCAGGCGCTCTGTTATTAACTCCGTTGTTCTTTCCGCTCCGTGCAGTGCGGAGCAGTGTCACCGTGTCTCGTTGGCCTTACTACGGCCGTTGTTAACCCTCGGTGACATAAGTCTGGCGCTGGCGGCGCTTCCTGGCGCGGCGGGTAATCGAATCCGTTATTGCCCGGGCCTCGGAGTCGCACTGCCGCACAGCCGCACGCCCGGTGGAGACGGAGGGACGATTGATGGCGTTATTTTCCCGCCGTGCCGAGTACGTCGCACTGCTCTTCCCCACTGCGGCGCTAAGCAGCGCACAGTGGGCCAGAAAACCGGTGGAGGCTGTCAAAATCCCGGACGCTAAATGGGACTCGAACTGAAGAACCGAACGTGTGACCCCACCAATGGATTGCTCTCCGAACGAGGAATCCATTGGTGGGGTCACACGTTCGGTTCGAGTCCTGTTTAGCGACTCTGGAGCTGAAAATGCATGGTCGGCTCCACCAGTCTTCTGGCCCACTGTGCAGCGCTGAGCCAATCCGGTGGTCGAGCCGCGGTGAGGATGCGGCGTCGATGCGTCGATGCGTTTCGACACCGGCTGGCCCGGCCTGGAAAGCCCGGCTGGGCGCGCCGCGGGGCTGCCTACGTCTGCGCACGTCGGCGACGTCCAGTCCCGGCCAGGATGCCGGCACCACCGGCAGCACGACGCGGCAGTTCTCGGAATGGACGCAATGCGGATGGGGGCGCCGTCGGCAAGCCGTCGGCACGTCGCTCGCCGATCGGCCGGTGTCGACTTGGACCCGGCGCCACCGCCAACCGGCAGTCGATCCGGGGCAAGCAGGCAGCGGGCTTGCTTCGGAAAACGTGGAAAAATGCGGAGCACACTCGCTGAGCCCCGCCGCCGCTGGCCGCACCGCGATGCCGTGGACGCCGCGGCCGCCGGGTTTGCGTCATCGACACGCGTGAGTGTGTATTCTGCCGGCGTGGATGGCAACTGCTGGCAACTCACTCTCTCACTTCAGACTGCGGCCTGGAGGGCCAGAGCGAGCCTTCCGCGCTGCACGGTGATGCGCTGTGCGTGGGTATGTCTGTCTCCCTCCCTCTCTCTCCCTCTCTCACGCTCGTCCCACTGCCGCGAGAACACATCGGCTACCGGTGCCCCCGACCAGGTCGCAACGAGCTGCGTGCCCCGGGTTCTAATCCATGCTCCAATTCGTCGTCGGCTTTGCAGAGCAAGTGTCTACAGCTTAGTCTTTCCTCGTGGGCGTTCGTCCCGGACGACGAGGAGTCACGCCACATCGCGCCCTCCCGTGGGTGGGATTCTCGTTCCTGATCCCGATTCTGACCGCGCCCCTGGCTTCCTCTGGCGCCCCGCTCGCCCTGCTCGCCCTGCTTTCGGCACGGCACCCCTTTTCGCAAGCTTCGCTCTGAAGTAATGCTCTATGCAGGATGCGGCGGATGCGGCGCCCCGAATCCTCGGCGCCTCGGCGTGCCGGCGGCGTGCGTGCCTCGGCGCCTCGCCTCGGCGTGCGTGTTCTGGTGGTCCCTCGCCCCGCGCCGACGCCCCGCAGCCTCTGCCTGCGGCCCGTTCGCCAATCCTGGCTTTCAGAGCGCGGCGGGGCCGGGCCACACGGCCACGAGGCGGGCCGCCCGCAGGTCGCCGTCGTGGAGCCCTGCCCCGCCAGCACGACCGACCGGCCGGGGTGGCCTCCCCGTCGGGGTGGAAGGCGTGGGCGCAGAGCGGGGCAGAGAGCGCGCCGCCGAGTGCCGCCGCAGGGGTGGTGGGGGGAGGTCCCAAGGCTGCGCCCCCCCGGGCCCGCCCCAGCTGCGCCCCAGGACCCCGTCCCAACTGGCGGCCCGGCCCAGCCCGGGTCAGGAGGGCCTTCCGTGACCAGGGGGCGTAACGGAGTCCGGGCTGCTGCAGCGACGACGCGCCGCCGAGGCGCACGCCGCACGCCGTGCCGAAAAGGAGCCGCCCTGCCACTCATTTTTTGCTCCGTCCGCGACAAGCATCGTCCGAGTGCGATGAACTTGGCGGCGAGGAGATACCTGGGTTCAAATACCGACTTCTTGCTCCGCTTTTTGTCGGCTTGTTGTTTTTACCACTTTTCGTTGGCCTGATTGTTTTCGGCCGAGCGACCTAGCGTGACGGTCGTGAAGTGGCGATGCCATCACGAGACTTCGGCGCGGATCGGTCGAGTCGCCCCGCCCCACCCCGCCCCACCCTGCCCCGCCCGCCCCGCCTCGCCCCGCCCCGCCCCGCCTCGCCCCGCCCCGCCTCGCCCCGCCTCGGGTTCACGACGCCAGGAATGACCCAATCATCGTGAGACAAGGCCCGGCTAGGCCCGGCCACTGAGCGACTACACAGAGGGAGAACTCGCTTTGAATTTTAGTGGCACCCCGTTCACCGTCATGAGAGGAGCGCGGGCTGGTTGCAAGTGCAGCAATAAATGCGGGCCTGCCAACAAAAGCATACACTGCCGACAGCGCGCAGTACTGACTGTACAGCCGGCCGTGGCCCTGCCGTGGCGGGGTGGAGTTTCTCTTAGTTTTCGGCTTCTCGTTCGGCCGGAGAGTGTACACCCGCGCGCGTTTCGGTCGGCGTGAGTGGCGCGCGTCTGTGTGCGTGTGTGAAATGCCAACTGGATCTAGTAACGCTCCAGCATGACGAGACATCTTTTCTGCGCCCGTAATCTTGTTCCACTTTTTTCCCTCAGCCCTTCGGGTGGAGGGACGGCGGGGCATTTACAATTGGCCAATAGAGCCCGGCGCCGCCGCGGCCTGAGCTGCCGCGCTGCTGGATAGGATAATAATAAGCCATATGTGAGCTGGCGAAATCCGCCGGCCCGAGCCGAGCCAGGGTCGCGTGTGTGAATCTGGATCTGAATGTGAACGTGCGCGCGGCAGTCGAACAAAAGAACGGCGAGTCAGGGCGGCTGCACAAAAGCGCGCGCAAATCAAACTTGGGCGCGGGAACGGCACGGCTTGCCACGGCACGGCTGCGGGAGCGGGGACGCGAGTTTGAAAATGCATTACCGTAAGAGACTATCGCGGAGTGGCAGCGTGGCCGCGCCGAGAGCGAGAGTGGGGGGCGGGGCGGGGCGGGGCGGGGGCGGGGGGGGGCGGGGCGGGGGCAGCCTAGCGCCGTTCTAATCACTGCAAGCCTGACCTCGCGGCGAGGCTTCGGCTGGGCTTCGCTTCGGCCTGGCGGGGCTGGCGGGGCGCTAGGCGCCGCGGCGCTACAACTTTCGTTACGAAAAAGACCTCCGCTCCGCGCGCCGCCCGCGCCACCCGCGCCGCCACATCGCGGCATCAGACACCCGCACCGCCATGGCACCGCCACACTGCAAAGCACTGCAAAGTGGCCGAGCTCATCTGCCACGAGGATCGCGTCCTACGCATTCGCCCTCCGCACAGAAGATTATCGATTTGATTGATTATCGACAAATTGAGGTGCCCGTTCACGATGTCCTCGCCGGAATGTCCATTTTCATTCGACCTTGGTAACGGTAACGGGAAAATCAGCAATGCAGTGCCGGTCACAAACGTACGCGACCACTGTCAGAGAAGTGCCCGCGTTTGCGGGTACGACTGGAGTGACACGACTGCAGGGCTATCATTAGCCTGAAACCCCCAGTCCGTTTTACACCGATTTCGCGATTTCGCGCTGCAAGCAGCGAAACACAATGACCGGTTGCCCAATAACCAATTAATATTTACTGCGATCACTCCGCTGCCCCCTCGGCCGAGCCCTCGGCGGCAACGAGCTCCACTTAGACGGCCGCCTGCTTTTTGCTGTTCTCGTTGCATCGCGACCTCAGAGCGGCTCGTGGGCCCCTTTGTGTGCCATCCTTGATTACGCTCTTTTTCCCTTCCTCTTTTTTTTATCCCATTTCTACTCAAGGAAAAGTCCGTCCGCGTCGCGGCCGTGAGGTCAGGAGAAAAGCCAAATTGGCCTAACCGTCCGCACCTGAGGCACGCCGGCACGCCACGCCACGGTCGGCTTGGCCGCCAAAACCTCGACAGAGGTTCCACTTACTGCCCGCGGAGGACACGACGTCGCTTCCAGGACCACCACATTTCTCCTGCACAAAAATCAACCCATCGCAAAAAAAGTTCCTCCTTTTCTCAGTGTTTGAACCCGCAACCCGCGCGCCGTCACGGAGCTGGCAGTTAAGGCGCGCGCCTACCTTGCGACGTTAAGGACTTTCTCACGAGACGGCGGCAATGCAAAGATGAGGTGGTGTAATGTCCGCCGGCCGGGCGGGGCCGCCGGGCCGCGCGCTTCGAGTCCGCGACGCCGAGGCGCGCAGACAACAAGCCGTCCGCGGCCAGCGCCAGGGAAGTCCCGCGCAACTGTCCTTGTTCGTGTTGTTGTTGTCGTTGCCGCGGGCGGCGTCGCGTCCTTACCTGGCACTAGTGTCCTCGTTGCGCTGCTGACGGGGGACGCGCCGACGGCGACCGCCACCGCGGCCACGAGCGCGACGTACACGTGTAACCTCTCCATGACGGAGACGCGCGACGGATCGAGGAAGCAACCGTGGTGTCGCACACCCACACTCACACTCACCAACACACACACACACACAAACACACGCACTAGCACATATCACACTTCCACATGACAGCGGGCACACGCCGCCACCACTGCGGCGACTGCGGCGACTGCAGCACACACGTGCGCGAGGTCTGCGGTGCGTGTCCGCCTGGTCCGCCTCGTCCGGGCGCGCGGTCCCGCACGCGGAGCGGCGAGCGGCACGGCGAGCGGCCGGCGAGCGGCACGCGGTCTAGCGCGGCGCGTCGAGGCGGTCGGTCGGTGCGGCGGCGGCCAAGTCCCGTGGAGGACTGGCTGGCTGGCTCTGGCTGGCGCGGCGCGGCCCCCACAGCCCTCAGCAGCGCGGCGGCCCACCGAGCCCCTCCACTCCACTGCTCCAGCCTCCAGCTGACGCGGAGGGTAGTCCTCTGTCGCACACATGGGTGATCCTCGCGGGACGGATGTGAATGAGTTGACCTACCGCTATGTAGGAATTGTTGTTCAATCATTCTTCTGGAAAATCCTAGGTGCATCCAGGCCTACCACGGGAGGGTCTGCTCGCTGCTCTGGCCAACAATCTAAACCTACTCGTCAACCCGTTCTCGCCCCTCGGGCCGCGACCAATTTATCATAGTAACCGAAAACAATAATATTATCTTTTTGAAGCAGTGGCCAGCCGTCTTATTGGCACTTGTAACCTATCTTGATTAGCGTGAATAATTGACCACCCTGTTGTGCGCTCTTTGGTTTTATTCCGTTTTATTTCGCTATTCTTTTTAAATTCTATAAAATAATATGTACAAGTACTCTACAAATCAAAGAGTGTACATGGTACGCTCTAACTGGAGCATGCCTGCAAGCACGCTCTAACTAGCGCATGCCTGCCAAGCAGCACTAATGTGCTACATGCCATGTACACGCTAATGAAGCATAATTTACTGCATAAGGGATAGGGAGTTTTCTGCATCAGGAGCGTGTACATGATGTATGCACTAGTTAGTGCATGCTTGGCAGGCATGCGCTAGCTAGAGCGTGCTTGCAGGCATGCTCCAGTTAGAGCATACTATGTACGCTCTTTGATTTGTAGAGTAGGATACAGACTAGTGTGCAATTTGGCTAGGAGGCTTCTGCTGCCCCTACCGACGCCGCCGTCGCCTCGGCCCGGGGCACCATGACCGGGGCCTTGTCGAACACGCGGGGGTACAGCCGCAGGGGGAAGCCCTCCTTCCTCTTGAGGATGATGTCCCCGACGAGCTGGTAGTCCGTGTACGGGATGTCGGAGCGCACCTCGAACTTCCGGAGGATGGTGGAGATGAGAATCTTGAGCTTGAGCATGGCGTACTTGCGGCCTGGACAGAGCGAGAAAGCGGGGTAGCCAGGGTGGCAGAGCGTGAGAGCGAGAGCGGTGCACGATGGGTTGCCCACCGGCCGGCGGCGGCGAGCGCGCCGTGCTCCGGTCGGGCCAGAGCGGTTAGACTTGGAGTCATTAAGTGTCTAGACGCCATTTTGAAACGAAGTATGAGAAATAAATAGGTCGTTCTGTCCCGATGTATGACGAACTGCGCATACCGTTTTCCAGCCCCGCGCCTCTCTAGACACTTAAGGACTCTAGACAGACTCACCGACGCAGCTTCGCGGCCCCGCGCTGAAGGGGATGAAGGAGTAGTAGTGCCTGTCGGCGCAGCGCTCGGGCAGGAAGTTGTCGGGGTCGAACTTCTCGGGGTTCGGGTAGGTGTCCGGGTCGCGGTGCACCATGAACGGGGCCAGGATGACTGTCGTGCTCTCGGGCAGCACGTACCCCGACTCTGAGGAAGCCCAAAGCAATTCAATGGTATGACAGTCTGCGGTGCACAGTGGGCCAGAAGACGGGCGGAGGTGGAGGTGGCCAACATTCTAGACGCGTTTTGAGCTCCAGAGTCGCTAAACGGGACTCGAACCGGACGTGTGACCCCACCAATGGATTGCTCTCCGAACGAGGAAGGTGGGGTCACAAGATCGGGGCAAGTCCCTGGAGCTCAAAACGCGTCTCGAATTTTGGCCGCCTCCACCGGTCTTCTGGCCCACTGCGCGGTGTGCGGCGAAGACAAGACAGTCTGCTGCCCGAGCTTCTCACTGATCTTGACGTCCTCGGTGAGGCGCCGCGCCAGGATGGGCACGGGCGGGAAGAGCCTGAGCGTCTCCATGATGCAGCGCTCCAGGTACTTCATCTGCAGCGTGTCCTGGAAGGTCGCCGGCCGGTCCGAGTGGCCGAAGATGTCCTTGAGCTCGGCGGCGCACCGGTCCTGCACGTCGTGCTGCACGCCCATGATGCACAGGAAGAAGCTGCTGGCCGCCGCCGTGGTGTCGTGCCCCTGCAGCAGCGGGCCATTCAAGAGGAGAGTCATTATCGGGGAGAAATTCCGTGGCTGAAGGTTTTGGACAGCAGGCCGATTCCGATGAAGTTCCGAGATTATTTCATTTTGCCTCGTTCACAAAGCCCGCAGCTGCTCACCTCAAACATGATGGTGTTGACCTCCTCCTCGACCTCCTTGTCGGACAGCACGACGCCGTCCTCGGCGGCGTCCAGCAGCTGGTCCAGGAAGGCGATGCGCTTCTTCTCCCCTGCCAGGACCAGGCGCTTTAGCGTCCGACACTTTTTACTTCTCACGCCGCACGCTCTCTGGACTCACCGACGTCCTCGTCCAGGTCGTCCTTGAGGCCGAGCGCCAGGCCGTCCGACATGACGCTGTCGTTGGTGCAGTCGGCGGTCGAGTCCTGCAGGAGCGCGTTCTGCTCGGCGCCGCCCGCGGCCCGCCGGTACAGCCCCGCCGTGATGCCCTGCTTGCGCTCCTCCTTGCGCTTCTTCACGACCTGCCGACCCAAAGCCTCGAGGAACACTCTGAGCCTGGAGAAATGCCCTTGGCCTGGAGAAATACCCTTGGCCTGGGAAATTGCTTTCTGCCTGGAGCAATGTTCTTGGCATGACAAGTATTCCCCCCCCCCCCCGGGCACTAAGCCGCGACCCTAAAATGTATTTCCGTGACCCTAGATCGGGTATTGCGGCACCCCGAGGGTGAGAAGCGCTGCCACCCACACCACCATCCCCTGGCGATGACCCGCCGAACTTACGTCGTGAGTGAGGCCGTGGATGATGGTGAGCAGCCTCTGCTGCCTGCGCCCGTCCTCGGACAGGCCGAACAGGATGTCGGGCCACAGCCAGGGGCGGAAATGCCGTCGATGAAGGATGTAGCACATCCTGCAACCAAGCGTTATCCAGAGCGTCAACGCGGCGTCGCCAGCCGCCAGACTCGCTGTCAGACCCGTCACCAGGCTGGGCGTGTCGTACTCACTTCATAACCGCCGATGCGTACTCCAAGCCGCGCTTCTGCGTCGACCGGTCCACGCCCATGGCCGTCTCTACAAAGGACACACTCGACAGTGATCGGGTGGCAGCTCCAAACTCCAAACCCAAAACTAGTTACTCGATTGTTGGCCTGCAAGGCACTGCAGGCCTCGACTCACCCAGCAGGATCTCCACGGTGGCCTCGCTGAGGTAGTCGTGGGCGTCGATGGCCTGGCCGGTGAGGGGCGAGAGCTTCTCGCACAGGGCCTTGCTGTTGCGGTTGAAGAGGTGCACGAACTGCTTGAGGACGTGGATGTGGAACGTGGGGGCGATGAGCCGTCGGTGCGAGCGCCAGGTGTCTCCTGAGGAAAAGAAGGACGACAACGCGACCGTTCGGGTTTGGGTCCGGTTTTGCTTTTCGTTGGTCAGGCCACACGATCGATTCAAGTCTCATATAGCGATTCTGGGGCTCAAAAACCATCAGGGATTTTGGCCGCCTCCACCTGTACACTGCCGCTTTCCTACCGGAACTGATGAGCAAGCCGTCGCCGAGCCAGGGCTTGAAGAAGCGGTAGTCCTGCGACTTGTCCAGCATCTGCGAGCTCCCCAAAATCACCTGCGGGAGTGGAGTAGTCATCTCGATGTAGCAAATTGAAATGGCAGTATTCATTTTAAATAAATGCAATACGGCTTCTGGCGTACCTCCACGTCGTCGGGGTTCCAGAGCGCCACGGCCACGCGGTGCATCCACCCCAACCTCACGACCTTCTCCGGAGATTTCTTGCCGATTTCGACGGTGTTGCGGAACATTTCTGAGGGGCAAACGGGAGCCGAGTCAGGATGCGTCATGCACTGAGCGGTCTGCTCGTGGAGCTCAGCGGCTACGACACATGAAGATCAACTCGGATGCTGCGCTTACTTGACATGTCGCTGCTGAGGAGGTACAGGTGGCCGATGAGGGGGTACGAGGGAGGCCCGGGGACCTTTTCGGCCAGAGCGAGCCTCTCGCCGAAGGCGAACCTGAACCAGGTGTACAGCGACGCGAGGGCGAGCCCGAGCACCGCCAGCACCGCGGTCAAGTCCATGCCGGCGGTCGTGGGTTCGACTCCTGGCCGAAGCTCACCTCTAGCTCTTTCTGAATCCGCGGCTGGCCTCCCGCGGCGCACTCACTGGGCGGAGAGGATCGAATTAGTCTAGGCCGGATGATGATGATAATGATGATGATGATGATGATGATGATGATGATGATGATGATGATGATGATGATGATGATGATGATGATGATGATGATGATGATGATGATGATGATGATGAGCCAACCGGGTGTGATTGGTGTGACATGCACCCTCGCCGCACTCACCTTCGCCGCCGGTCGGGATGTTTGTGGCACGCCCCGCGGGCTCCTCGGGCCTCATATATGGATTCAGCAGGGGTCGCCCGAATTCACGCAAGCCGCCGTTTTCAGACGACCTCGGCTCGCATTATCATTAAGGCACCCGGTGACGCACCATGCCGGCAGACGAAGACGAAGTCAGCCCCGGCACGGTCACATTCTGGCTGGGTTCTAGCGCAATGTCTAATTTAGACTCAAATCCTCAACTTTTTCAACACTTTTAAACAATACCAAACAGTAGCGGTTGGAGGTGATTTAAATAATTTTGACTTTAAAGAGATGCGATGACGGCTTTGCACTCCCCACAGCCTGTGAATGGTCCCAAAGCGCCTCAAGGCGAGGGCCCTATTTCAGTGTGCAAATTTTTAAATTTCACATGAATGACGGATGAATTTCAATGATTAGCAGCAAAATTTCCATGAATTTCAAGATAGATTTCACTGAAGTTTGAAGAATTTCCTTGAATTTCAATTTACATCTCGTGAACTTTGAGCAAATTTGACTAAAACTCAAGATTGGCCATGGTGTACAAATTTTTTGGAGTTGTTTCCCCTTGGGTCTGGGCTGGGGCCTTTCCCATTTGCATGGAGTATTTCTAACTTCCTTGCTTGTTCCTCTTACTTCCGGTCCGTGGCAGCCGAGCAACACAGGAGCCTCAACCGGCCTCTTCGCTCGGCCTGCCCGAACGACGTGTCCGTGTCGCCCGAGCCCCGTCTCTTTGCTGTGCTCTCCTGCCCGTCTTGCAAAGTCACGGCCCCGACTGGCGAGTCCCAAAATTTTCATATTGCGCATTGTCTTTGGCGCGGTTGCACCGTTAAAAAAAAAGTCATTATAAATTAACGAGAAATGTTTGGAATGCATGGGCTTTCCGTAGTGTTTTGAAAGAGTTTCGTATAACTTTCGTCAACTGACGGCAAATTCTGACATAAGTCTCTGAATACAGGATTCAGACTGCCAGATCAAAATTTGGTCTGAATTTCCAGACTTTTTTTTTCAACAGTGAAGGTTGTGTGTGTGCGGCTTAGTATTTACTAATCAATTTACTTCACTGAATTAGCCTGAGAGTAAATGTTAAGAAGGTAGAAAAATAAAATAACTTTTTTTTAAAATTTGTTTTTGGTGCGCTGCGCCTTGCGCCGCCCGGCTAGGCAGCCCATCCGGCCCGGCTGCGGCTCGTGGTGCGTGGCGGCCCGGCGGAGGGACTTGGAGGGGGCGCGGCACGCCGCACCGCTGCGGGCCAGCGCCTTCTCACTCGATGGTCCGTCTCAGAGACAAAACGAAACGATACTGGACCTGAATCCCTACCAGTACCTGTTGAGGAATTAACGGCGTTGCTCCAAGTTGCAAATGCGCTGTACACCGGCACAGTGGTCAAACGATTGGAGCCAGAGAGTTGCAGGTTTCACAACGGGAGGCACAAAGAGCTGTTTCACTACACGTTTCATAATTTTTGTTTAGACGCATAGTCTAAACATTTATTCAAATGTGTCATTAATGTGCTGCGAGTAGGATACGAATACAGTACGGTGGGGATGTCTTATCACTTGTGGCTGCTGGCGGCGACGGCAAGGCATGGGCTGGAAGGCTAGCCCGGCCCAGCGGCCCAGCCCGGTCGCGCACTCAGCACGCAGTTCGGCAGTGCGGCGCGTTGCTGCGAGTGGCTTGCATGCTGCTTGGATGTGGGGAAGGGCATGAAGGTCCTGGAAGGACCCCTCCGCCAGCCCCGCTACCCCTGCCAGGTCTGCCAGGACGGTGGCGGTCTGGCGGCGGGCCTCGGTGTGGGTCTGGTCGGCGCGGGCCTGGCCGTCGCCCACTGCGGCCGCTGTCCTGGCTGCGCTGGCTGTCCCGGCCGCGCGGCGGCGGCGGCGGGGCGGCTGCTGGGCGGCCACACGGTGCGCTCGATCCAGGCGGTGTAGGCCGACACCCTGGTGTAGACGCCGGGCGTGGTGGTGGAGCCGCAGAAGATGCCGAGCGAGACGACGCCCACCACGTGCTGCATGCAGTACGGGGCGTCCGCCGTGAACACCTGCAGCGGCCCGCCCGAGTCGCCCTGCAACAGAACAAGGCGACGCGGTGTTTACGCGGCTCCTTTGACGCTACACGCCGCGTCGCTGGCCGCGCGGCCACCACCCCGCCGTACCTGGCACGCGTCCTTGCCCGACTTGGAGCCGGCGCAGAGCTGCGTGGGCTTGATGCCGTCCGGGAGCTTGCTGCCGGGGATGCGCGTCGACGCCGAGAAGCTCTTGTTGCACGTGTCCTGGGAGGTGACCTGCAGGCGGGCCTTGAGCAGCATGGAGCTGAGCTGGTCCTCGGCTGGAACAAGACGAGGCACGTGGGTGAGCACCGGGGTGGCAGCCCGCCCCGCAGCGAGCGGCGCCGCAGCTGCAGTGCTTTGAGACGCGCTCACCGAAGTCTTCGACGCCCCAGCCGGACACGGTGACGTTGTCGCCGTCGCGCAGCCGCACGCTGGCCGCCGTGTGCAGGCAGGCGGGCCTCACGTACTCGCTGAGCACGGCGGGGCGCTGCAGCCTGAGCAGCGCGATGTCGTGGTACCTGCGGGGAGCGGAGTGGCGGTTTCGGTTCATTCGCTTCCAGAATCAAGTTCGCGCCAAGCAGTGGGCCTACCTGAGCTTCTGCTCGAACTCGGGGTGCCTGACCTTCTCCTGCACGGCCACCAGCTGGGGCCGCGCGTCGTCCTCGTCCGTGGACCGGTCTAGGTCGCCCAGCAGTGCGAACGACACCGTGCCCCTGCCAATGCCAAGGACCGCGCCAAGCGCCGGGTTAATGGTACGGAGACAAGGACGGAGGGAAGCTGGCGGACGCCGCGCCCCGCCGAGACTTACATGGTGTTGTGCGACAGGCAGTGCGCGGCCGTCAGCACCCAGCGGTCCGAGATGAGCGAGCCGGCGCAGCTCCACACGATGGAGTCGCGGGGTCCGTAGCCCAGAAGCGCCTGCCAAACAGATTGCCCCAAGCGGGTCACGGAGCGAAAACAACGGCAAGGACGCGCCGCGCCGCGGTGGGCACGGCAACGACCTGGCCGAGGGCCTGGCGCATGCGGGCCGCGACTCCGCGAATGGCACCCTCGTCCTCGTCGTCCTCGTCGACGTCCTCGCGGCCGCCTCAGGCCCTCGCCGGCAAGCTGGAACTCACCATGTGCGGGAACTCCTTGGGCTCGGCGGGCACCCCGTTGACGATGAGTTTGTGGACCGTGGAGCTGCGGCCATACCAACAACCTCAACATTCATCGAATCATTTCGCTCTGCCTAAAGTCTCGTCTGTGGACTGGAAATGGGAATCGAACGAACCTGCCTGGCTTCGGACAAAGTCCTTGCTGCCGCACCGTCTGCGCGTACTCCAGGCACTCTGGAACAACAACAACACGCTGCGGTCACGGCGGGTCGCGAGGTCGCCGCTGTTTGCAAAGCCAGTGCGCGCCGCCCGGCCTACGTCGACCGGGCCGGGCTGCCGGGTGACTGGCCGGGAGGGTTGCTGGCGTTGCAGGCGTCGCCGGCCCACCCTGTACAGTGCAGACTGCCCACGTACTTCGCCTCGCGATGCCCCCCACTGGCAGGGCCTGGTCCCGCTCGGCGACGTCACCGGCCCCCTCGCCGGTCGCCTCGCCGGTCCCCTCACTGGGGACAGTCACCGCTGACGGCGTCGGCGCCGCAGACTCGTCGGGGCAGCACACGTTGGGCACCATGGAGTGCGAGAAGCCGCAGATCTGGGGGTTGATGTTGTCCTCGAGGTCCTTGACGGCGTGGGGGCAGTCCTTGAGGAACACGCACTTGCCGGCCACGCCCAGGCGCTCATGCTGGCAGTCTTGACCTGCGGGAACGGGGTAGCACTGTCAGGCACACGTTGGAGGGCACTCCGTCAAGGAGGCCTTGGCCCTGGTCAGTACCTTTGTCCTGCGCGTTCGCCAGGACGAGCGTGGCGGCGAGCACGGCGCCGAGCACCGCGGCGGGCTGCATGGTGGTGGGCAGAGCCGGCCGAACGCGGAGCAGGAAGCTGCGCGGTGCGGAGCAGTGCGGACAGTGCGGAGGCGCGGTCAAGACGAGTTCTCGGCCTGGGCAGAGGCAGACTGGGCGACTGGGCGCGGCGAGTCGGCGACGCGAGTGAGCCTCCGGGACGCTGGACGCGCTGGACTGGCGGCTGGAGCGGCTGGAGCGACCGGAGCGCAGCGGCATCGCAGGGAAGATGGCGAGATGGCCGAGATGGCGGCATCGACAACATCGGGGGCGGGGGGCGGCCCGAGGGGCGGTTCGGGGGCGGTCCGGCGACCAGTGCCGACAAGTTCAAGTGGCGCTGCGGACAGCGTGCGGCGCCCTGCGCCCAGCCCCGAGCCCGCGGCCTTGTCGAAGGCCTTGGCGGTGGCAGCCGACCTCCTGTCGTGGCGGAACGAGCCACGCGAAGGACTCGCGAGTGCGCTGCGGACCGCGTGCCCCCATGTAGAGACCTAGAGTGACGGAGAAGCTCATTGCGCCGTCGCGCGTTGGCGGCCATTTCATTGCGCCTGCGCTTCTCCGTCACTCTAGGCCTCTACCCCTATGACGACGTCGGCCTGAGACAATTTGGATCAACGCAAACACGATGCAGATGCGGTGATGCGGTGTGGCGCCGGCCTGAAGGTCATGGCCGCCGTCGAGATTGAGAGGTGCAGCGCGCCGGCGAGGTGCTGGACCGGCAGTCTATGACGGTGCGGGTCTGCCGGCGGATCCAGCGCTCCTGCTTCACGGCCTCCACCGCCACCATGGACGCCACCACTGCGAGGACGCTGCTCATGGCCGTGCTGGGAGGGGCCGTCCTGGCCGCCACCCTCGCGGGAGAAGGTCAGTCCGCGCCACTGTGGAGTGAGGGCCCGCCGCCTGGCGATTGAATAACGACGCAAATGCACCGCTAAATTAAACCGCGTGAGCAGAAAACCAGACTGCATCGGCGCAACCGCTCGCTGACGAGGCCGGAGCGGCTGGCCCGGCCGCCACGAACGACAGCAGCAGCCCGCCGTCCTCCACCCCCAGCTCGAGTACCCCCAAGGACGCCACCTACGGCCGCATCGCCCGGGCCAGTGAGTGCATCGCCACGTAGACCTTACTTCCGCAATGCTTCCATGCAAATAAGCTTTACGTTGAAGTATGACAATGCTGACTGAATGCGTTGAAGTCTGAACAGCAGACCCCGAAGAACACGGCTGCAATCGCTGTGCTTGCCAACTGGAAGGACAGAAGTAACTGCAATGGGCAAAATGGGAGTTTAAGTGAGTTTTTGTTTCACAGTGTGCGTAGTGTACTCGGAGTACGTGTACCAGGTACCGCCCCCCATCGCGCTCATTGCGGGAGACTCCTCCAAGGTGGACATGTGCACCATGCCCGCCGAACCCCTCATCGTGGGCGGAGACAACGTGGCCCCCAACGAGTTCCCCCACATGGTGAGCCCTGGGGTGGGCATCGATACCCCGTGCTCGACAGACTCGATAAGCTAACGAATTTCTTTTGCGCGTGGAGTATCGACGGGCCCTGTCGTTTGGGTCTGAACTGGTTGGCGGCTTACTGACAGGAAACTCCTGACCCCGGCAGGCGCTGGTTGGATACGCCAACGACGAGGGCGGAATCGAGTACCTGTGCGGCGGCTCCCTCATCGCGCCCAACTTCGTCTTGACGGCCGCCCACTGCCTGATACTCCAATCGTGAGTGTGACCTGTTGCGCTGCTCAGAATCCACTTCGATTCGTAATTCGTTTCCTCTGCGTTTGAACCAGAGGCCAGCCGGCGCGATGGGTTCTCCTCGGCGACCTGGACCTCTCCACGACGAAGGACGACGCCAGCCCCCAGCGCCTGGAGGTCGCCCAGGCCATCAAGCACCCCGACTACCAGCCGCCCCAGCACTACAACGACATAGCGCTGCTGCGGCTCGAGAGAAGCGCCGAGATGACGGCCTACGTCCGGCCTGCCTGCCTCAACACGGAGGGGATCATCCCCGGGTCCAGCAGCAAGCCATTGGCCACCGGCTGGGGCCACACCGAGTTCGGTGAGCTGACGTCATTCTTGCATCGGCTGTAGCTCTACCTCTCTGGCACTCATGGGGCGCGCCCTTGCCGGAGACAGCGACGCCACGTTTTTGTCCCGAATCCCCCAATCAAACCGAATAACGTTGATGTTTGCAGCGGACGCCATGCCGTCCAGCATCATGATGAAGGTGGAGTTGCCGCTGCAGCCGTACCACGTCTGCAACGACACCTACAGGAGCCTGGTCGGCGCGAGGCTGCCCCGGGGCATCCTGGATGAGACGCAGCTGTGCGCCGGCCTCCTCGCGGGTGGGAAGGATACATGCCAGGTAAGCTCACATTGTGCCCCATTCCATCGAACCTCGCTTTGCTGAAAAGGCAACTCGGTTCGACAAAGGGTAGGTTCAGCTGCAGCTTGTCCCTTGCTGCTCGCCAAGTTGCCGTAGTGACCGTCGACTGCGTCCCTGTTTCAGGGCGACTCTGGCGGCCCGCTGCAGACCTTCACGAACGACGAGCCTTACTGCATGCACCACGTGCTGGGCGTCACCTCCTTCGGCAAGGGCTGCGGCTTCAAGGAGGCCCCTGGCGTCTACAGCAGAGTCTCGGCCTTCGTGCCGTGGATCGAGAGCGTCGTCTGGCCCAACGAGCACTAGTGCAGGAGCCAGTCCACCCCGCGGCCCCGTTTCTTTTTGTCACAATACCGGAATACAAGATTTTCGTGAAGCCGCACTGGAAAATAAAGCGTGTTCCGATCGCTGCTCGTCTTCCTATCACGATCAATTGTTTGCTAAATTTCTTTTTTTTTGCCAAAATAATTGCAGGTGACCTGATACATTGTAATTTGAGCTGGACTTTGCGTCTCTTTGCATGATGTTGAATCTCCATCGGTCCCCATGACTCACCCGGCCGGCCCGTGTCTGGGTGGGGTGGCCCCAGAACCCGTGCGGGGCAGGCAGCGGGTTTGGCACAAAGCGTTGCCCGCTGCCCGCCCCGGGGCGTGGTCGCGTGGGCGGCGCCATGGCGGCGCCACAGCGCGGGAAGACCAAGACTATTCGCAGGGAATTTCCTTGGGAATCTCTGCGCCTCGTCTGCACGCCGCGGCAGGGAATGACAGGACAGGCGTGCATGCGCTTGGTTAGGTTAAGCCTCGCCGAGCTGACGCACTCCGTTCGGGACCGGTTCGGCGGCGCCCGAAGCACGAAGCTCGGGAGCCGAACGCTGGCGCCGCTGCGCCCCGAACGCCGAGGCGCAGACCCACGAAGCGGTGGTCATGCGAGCGCGAGCGTCGCGTCGAGCGTCTCGGAGCGTAAGTACAGGTTAGCGGCGAGTGTCGTCTTCGTTCTCCGTCTGGCGGGCTAGCCAGCTAGCCAGTGACGCATTTCGCGGCGAGCGACGAGCGAAGTCAAGGCGGCGAGCGGCGAGGGAACAGGTCTCGCAACTTGATCAACAACAAGACCAAAAACAACAAAGACAAAAACAAGGGCAGGCTGATAGCGCCGCGCTTCGCCGGGCCACGCCGCGGACGCCCCTCCACGCCCTGCCCCTGCTTCTCCACCCCCTCCACGTCCAGCCGCACAGAAGACTGATTCCGAGTGGGAGGTCTCTCTCCCTCTCGCACCCATGCGGCGGGCTGAAAGGGTGCGAGAGAGACAGGCCGCCACACTGTCCGTTCGGAGTCACTTCGCAGCACCCACATCAGCGTCACGCCCCGCGCTGCCCGCGTCCGGCGGCCCGGCGAGTCGCGAACCCGCCATGTTGCCTCTCCTCACTCCAGCAGCCAGCAGCTAGCAGCCACGGCGGCGAAGCGACATCACACCTCAGGCTGCCTCAGGCCTCCCGCCCGCCGGCCCACCGGGCCGCCGTCTGTCCGGCCGTCTGCATGTCTCTCACCGGCTCGTCGTGAACTTGCTCTGTCTCCCAGTCTCAGTCAGTCAGTAACTGGCGAGCGGCCGCGCGTTCCAGACGCTGCCGTGACCGGGCGTGTGCGACGGCGTGACCAACGCAACGGCCTGACGGCGTGACCGAGACCGGCAGCGAGCGTCACAGCGTCACGTGACAGCGAGTGCACCATGGTGGCCACGAGCGCCGTGAGCGCGCTGCTGGTGGCGGTGGCAGCCCTGCACGTCGCCGGCGCTCAGCAGCTGTTCGAGGGTAAGGTTGTTGGCGACCGACGCGTTTTTGGCGTCGGCGCGGAGCAATGTTTTGACTGGGAGAGTACGGCTGAGTGGCCGTGCGCGTAGCGTGCGTAGGAAGTGAGCCGATTCCTTTTCGCGTCGGGACTCCGCGCCAAATCCGAAACGCCGAGCCGAGCGTGCACGGCGGCTGGCCTCGCACCATCGTCTGCGCCGTGCGCGCCTTGTTTACGTTCAACCGCACAACCGAAAAAAAAATTCTCGCGAAAACGTAGCAAAACAAAGTGTACCGATAGCGGTAGCTTAGCTTCTCGGGGCGTATCGTGCTGTTAAGAATTCCGGTGAGAGGGGGGAGTTGATGGCGTGGGGAAAACCGACTGATGTTTGACGGGCGAGTGGAGCAGTTCCACTCTCCAGAGCGCGACTTTTGTCAGCACACTGTTTGCCGCATTAAAAGGATTGCCGTGAGCGTGGCGCGTGGCTCGGTTCGGGGCGCCTCTGCGTTGAAGTCTCTGCGAATAGCGAGGTACGTTCTCTCTTGTGCGACAGTGGGGGCGCGGCAGCGCTGCACGGCGGCACGGCCACGGAACGGACCGGTTCGATTAGGCCAGTGTCACGCTCCGGCCGTCCCGTCCCGGCCATCCCGGTCGTCCCGACGGCCGCTGCCGTCTGATTCCGAGCACTGCTTTGTCGCTCTGTCTCTCTTGCACCCCTTCGGACCGCCCCATGAGAGCGAGAGAGACAGAGCGACGAAAGCAGTGCTCGGAATGAGACGGCTGGGTGATGCCGCGTCTCGGCCTCGCCGGCCGTGCCGTGCCGTGCGTCCCACATCAGCTGCTTGGCACTGCTTGGTCTGCTCGCATGTGGCAAGGTGCAGGGACTGACTCGCTTCATCCGCTTGCACTGCATCACTGGGTCGAGGCACCGCGGCGTGGCGAGATTCCGAGTGGGAGGTCCCTCTCTCTCGCAGTCAATGAGACGTCCCCTGCAGGTGCGAGAGGGACAGACCGACGAGGACACTTTTCGGAATCACTCTCCGCGAGGCTGCGCCGCGGAGTCCTGCCCGGGGCGCGTGGGGGTGCTTCGCGTGCTTCGCTCGAACCCGTCCCACGCCCACAGCCATCCAGAACACTGTGCTCGATCGACCCTCCCCCTCCGCCCAGTGTACTTCTCGGACTGACTGGGGTGCGTGTGTCCAGGGAGCCGCTGCCACAACGAGGCGGTGAACCGGCGGGGCTCCTGCCGCCAGCTCTCCAACTGCCCTTGGGCCGAGGACCAGATACGCAAGCACAAGTACCCGCAGGTGTGCTCGTGGTCCCTCAACCTGCCCATCGTGTGCTGCCCGGAGAGCACCAACGAACAGCTCAACAACGGCTGGACGTCGCCCACCCAGCGGCCTACCCAGAGGCCCACCCAGAGGCCCACCCAGTGGGGCACCCAGCGGCCGACCCAGCGGCCGACCCAGCGGCCAACCCAGCGGCCGACCCCCAGACCCACGGGGCGACCGGCGGTGCAGCAGCGTGGGAGGATTGCCAAGAAGAGTAAGTACGATTCCACTCCACTCAGCTGCAGACTGATTCCGAGAGTCGTTTTCGTCTCTCCGTCTCCCTCCCACTCAGGCGTCTTGGGTAGGTGCGAGAGAGACAGAGCGACGAGAACGACTCTCGGAATGAGCGCGCTGGCCAGGCGCGATGATGCCCGACGTCGCCACGCATGCAGGGTGTGGCTAACCGGGATCTGTTTCCAGTGTGCGAGAAGTACTCGGAGTACGTGTTCCAAGAGGAGGAGGCCTTCGCGCTCTCGCCACTGGTGAGCGGGGAGAAGATCGACAAGTGCGCCATCCCCGCCGAGCCGCTCATCCTGGGCGGGGAGGACGTCGCCGCCAATGAGTTCCCGCACATGGTAGGCCAGAGCACGTACAGGACGTAGCACGCGCGCACCAGTGAGGGTGGAACCTGACCGCGAGCATGTCGCGCTGGTTGCAGGCCCTGCTTGGATACGGCGATGACGAAAACAACATCCAGTACCTGTGCGGCGGCTCGCTCATCGCACCCAACTTCGTCTTGACTGCCGGCCACTGCCTGTTCACGCAATCGTGAGTTTCTTCCGCGGTGGAGAAAAACCAAAAACTCGCCTTCGTTTCGACGTTAACGATTATCTCCGTCCATGACTTGCAGCGGCCAGCCGGCGCGATGGGTTCTCCTCGGCGACCTGGACCTCTCCACGACGAAGGACGACGCCAGCCCCCAGCGCCTGGAGGTCGCGCAGGCCATCAAGCACCCCAACTACAAGCCGCCCCAGCACTACAACGACATAGCGCTGCTCCGGCTCAAGAGGAACGCCGAGATGACGGCCTACGTTCGGCCTGCCTGCGTCTACACGGAGAACACCCTCCCGGCCTCAAGGCCCAAGCCCTTGGCCACCGGCTGGGGCCACACCGAGTTCGGTGAGTGATGCCGTGCACACTCGGCGTGGCATAAGACCGGTGGAGGCGGTCGAAACCGCGGACTCGTTTTGAGCTCCGGGCTCGCTATATGGGACCCGAACCGAGCTTGTGACCCCCCGATGGATTGCTCTCAGAACGAGGAAACCATTGGTGGGGTGACACGCTCGGTTTGAATCTTCTTAAGCGACCCTGGATCTCGAAACGCGTCTAGAGTTTTTGCCGCCGGAGCCGATCCTCTGCCCCACTGTGTGGCGTGGGGGTTGGCTTGGCCGCAGTGGGGTGTGAACGCGCGCGTGTCCCGTTGCAGGCGGCGACCCGAGCAACATCATGATGAAGGTGGCGCTGCCGCTGCAGCCGTACCGCCTGTGCAACGACTCGTACCGCAGTGTGGTGGGCATCAAGCTGCCGCGGGGCATCCTGGACGAGACGCAGCTGTGCGCCGGCGACCTGGCGGGCGGCAAGGACACCTGCCAGGTACGGTTGGAACCTCCGAGGGCGGATGAGGAATGGGTTGCTAGAACCGCACGAAAACTGACCCCGCCGTCGCTGTTTCCCGCAGGGCGACTCTGGCGGCCCGCTGCAGACCTTCACGAACGACAAGCCGTACTACTGCATGCACCACGTGCTGGGCGTCACCTCCTTCGGCAAGGGCTGCGGCTTCAAGAACTCCCCCGCCGTCTACAGCAGGGTCTCGGCCTACGTGCCGTGGATCGAGAGTGTCGTCTGGCCCAACGAGCAGTGATGCCAGCGACGCCTCACCTTTTGTACTCACCGCTTGCTGCCCATTCAAAATAGCGCGCCATTTTTGTTTTTATTTATTCTGCGTCGCCCGCCGGAGCGACGCGTTTCTGGAGCGACGCGTTGCAAGTCTGCCGCACCGAATCGCTTCCGTTTTATGTTAAGGACGTTAAAGTCTGAATGACTTGGGTCATGTTTTATGTGAGTCATTATGTCATGTATTAAAATTTGTTCGTTTTATTCTCTGTGATAGATGAGGCAAGGATGTCTTGAGCTAATGGTCTGAGGACAGACCGCACCATGACATTTCTAGCTGCCGCATTCTCTGTAAATTTAAGTACAATGTATAGATAAATAAAGTAATGTCAACATCCACCGCAGTGTCTTTGTTTGTCGTTGTTTGTTATTATTTGAACTCGGTAATGCCCACCTGGTCAGCAGGTGGCTGCGATACTGCCAGAACCCCATCATGTTTATTGTCTGCGTCTTTCCTTTAGTGGCGACGGCGTCCTTGCGGATTGGTGATGCTGCTGCTGGGGCTCCCTGTTCTCACGCATTGCTTTGTCGTTGTCCACAGGCAGCGAGTGCACCGCGTCGACGGGCGAGAAGGGGCGGTGCAAGAAGCTGACGAGCACGGAGTGCCCCTGGGGGCTGGAGGAGGTGAAGAAGAACCGCAGGCCCAAGGTGTGCTACTACGCCGGGCCCTACCCCATCGTGTGCTGCCCGAACAAGAGCGGGGCCGACGCAGCAGGGCCCCCTGCAGGCACTCCCACCCCGCCGCCTCCCCGCAACTCCAGTCCCAAGAAAGACAATAATGCCTACGCACGCGCCCGCGCCAGTAAGTACTCCATGCGCTCGAGGCAACCTCGACAAATTCCGCCTAGGAGGGTCATTGAAAGCGATGTGCCCCGACAGAGTGTCACGAGTACGCCGAGCACGTGTTCGCCGAGGTGGAGTCCATCGTTTTGATGACGCACACCGAGAGGCTGGACCAGTGCGCCGCCGCCGCCGACCCCCTGATCGTGGGGGGCACGCAGGCCAAGGCCATGGAGTTCCCGCACATGGTGAGTACCGAGTACGCCACGCGGCCGTCCCACAGTGGGCCAGAAGACCGGTGTAGGCGGCCAAAACTCGAGACGCGTTGAGCTCCAGAGTCGCGAAACAGGGCTCAGGTTTGCAAACCGAACGTGTGACCCCATCAATGGATTCCTCTTTCAGAGAGCAATCTATTGGTGTGGTCACGCGCTGTTTCCGAGTCCCCTTTGACTCAGGAGCTCTAAACGCGTCTAGAAGTTCGGCCGCCTCCACTGCCTTCTGGCCCACTGTGCGTCCGCCTCCCCATTCCGACCGGCTGCCCGCCGCGTGGGCGTGCCTTGGGCAGCAAGGGGCGCTGAGCCACGCTGAGCCGGCGGGGAAATTCCCCGAACCGAGTCGCGGGGCGCGTGGCTGGCCAGGCCGCCACGCCGCCACGCCCACGCCGCCACGCCACTGCCCAGGGAATTCCCCTGGCCGGGCGCGCGGCTTGCGCGGCTTGCCGGCCGAGCAACGAACTCGCCCAGCACTCCCCGCGTTTGGTCCGCGCTTCCAGGCGCTGGTGGGCTTCGACGCCGACGACGGCGAGATCGACTACCTGTGCGGCGGCTCGCTCATCTCGTACAACTTCGTCATGACGGCCGGCCACTGCCTCTACTCGGGGTGAGTTGGACTTAGAAATGAGCTTTGGAGTTTTGGCGCCCAGAGGGAGGGTGACGAGACGAGCGTGTGGTGCGCAGGGAGCGGCCCGCCAAGTGGGTGCTGCTGGGGGAGCTGGACCGCGCCAGCAACAAGGACGACGCGCGGCCGCAGACGATCCGCGTGCAGGAGCTCATCAAGCACCCCGAGTACAAGCCGCCGTCCACCTACAACGACATCGCGCTGCTCCGCCTGGAGAAGGACGCCGCCATGAGTGGCTACGTGCGGCCCGCCTGCCTGCACACCGAGCCCACCCTGCCGACCCGGGTCGGCGGCAAGCAGGACGACGACGTGCCCGTCGCCACCGGCTGGGGCAACACGGACTTCGGTGAGTCATTCGAGTCATTCCGGAGAATCGCTCCGTCGCCCCTTCCCTCTCGCAGCCCCTCGGAAGGCCTCACGAGTGCGGCAGAGACGGAGCGACGGAGCGACTCCAGAAGGAGTCCGCTGCCGGCCGGCCCGGCGGGAACGCGGCGGAAAACAACTCGAGTCGTCCGCCTAATTGGCCCGGCGCGGGAAAGAATTAACATTGAATTAACGTGGTTTCTGCCTTCCAGAGGGGGACGCGGCGAACCACTTGATGAAGGTGGCCGTGCACGTGGTGGACCACAGGGTGTGCAGCAACGAGTACGCCAACACGGAGAAGAAGCGCCTGCAGAACGGCATCCAGGAGAGTCTGCAGCTGTGCGCCGGCGGCACGGCCAAGGACACCTGTCAGGGCGACTCGGGCGGCCCGCTGCAGCTGCCCACCAGGAACTACTCGCAGGCCTCCACCGAGCCCTACTGCATGTACAAGATCGTGGGCGTCACGTCGTTCGGCAAGGCCTGCGGCTTCTCGCCCGGCGTGTACACCCGGGTGTACCACTACGTGCCCTGGATCGTGAGCATCGTCTGGCCGAAATGACGCGGCGCGTAGCGCGCATGGCGCCAGGGTGTTCAGGACACAGACTTCGCCACTTAGTGGTTGTCAAACGACTAATCTCGGCAAAAAGACGTTCTAGTGACTTTCCCAGCCAGTAACACCGTTAACAGTTAATGCTACTCAATCTTTGTTCATGCCCTTCATAACTGATTTAAATAATCCTTGAAGTTGTCTGGGGTTACGACAACCACTTCGCCGATCTCGTGGGTGCACATGTTGCACCTGCGGCACTTCATCGAATCGTTAGAACTGATTGAATTTAATCGTTGCACATGGTTGCATTACTTTACGTAGTGATGAACTGCTTGTTCCTAACATAAATAATTAATGTTACCGTCCAGACAATACATGTTGAACTTAGTTTGGTGAGTAAAAAGCGCGACTATCTTTTCCAGTCGCTCAAAAAATGGACTTTAAAAAAAGTCTCTCAATTAAAAACTGTAGTTTGGCTATTTATTGTGTACATAGAATGGCTGTAATATTGTTCATGCTTATTTTGGTCATGTATTTATAAATTGTGATTTGATGGGCCCGTTTTTGTGATGTTTGCTATCTGTGATCGCGAATATTGTGATTTTGTACAATGGTTCTCTGAACTGAAAAATGGGAAGGGTGGTCGGGCAGTAGGCCTTATCGGTAGGTTGGTGCAGCTGTAATGCTGCGAGTCAAGTGACGATTTTGGGGCGTGAAGCTGTAAATAGATTTTTTAAGAGCAGGACTTTCCGGGCGATTCCCAAAATGTACCATCGACCATTCTACCATCGTTGTTGTGATCAGTGTGTCTTCCATGCGAAAATTGATACCTCGGGGAGCAACAAGCAATTAAATGAGACACTTAACTATTTGTTTCGACGCGCATTTCTCCCTACCCCCACACCCTCTTTCTTTTCTTCTCTTGATTCAACTGAAATGGGCAGGCCGCTGCAGCGCAGGTCGCTTCCGACTTTGCAGGAGGAGCTCACGGAGGGAGGACCCAAGTTCAACGGCTGTCCACTGGGAGCGCCGTGCCTCCGTCACAGGACCGGTTCCTTTGGATCCTCTGCTGGCAGGTGGGGATCGGCTTGCGCCTCCACCGCGCACATCGCCTCCTCACTCGACCTGCGTCAGCGTGCCTGCCTGCCTGCCTGCCTGCCTGACTGCCCCCACTGCGGCTCGGCGAATCTCGGAACGGGACGCAAATATATGAGGCTCCCGGAACGAGGAATACACCAGTCTCGCCAGGCCCGTCCGCGGCGCCGCACCCAACCAATCAACCAACTCGTTGTCCGCCGCCATGATGCGTGTGGCGCTGCTCTGCCTGCTCGCGGTCCTCGGGGCCAGCGAGGCCACGGGCTCTGTCAGCAGCCGCAGTAAGTACACTGTACACATCTTCGTGGTAGAGGGAGAGCACCTACGCCTGAACGCCGCGCCCTGTCCACAGAATGCACGGAGTACGCTGCCTTCGTGGACAAGTGCGGCGCGGACTACAACAGGGTGTTCGCCGTGGGGAAGGTGCCCGCCGGGCCGAGGGAGTTCCCGCACATGGTGAGTGCTCGGCAGTGTGGGCGTCCGGCCGCGACGCCGCCGCAAGGTTCTAGTCTCTCACCAGGGGCATTGCATCTGCATCCAGGCTCACATCAGCTACGACAGTAGCGGCGACGACAAGTTCTACTGCGGGGGCATCCTCATCTCCCCGGACTTCGTGCTCTCCTCGGCCGTCTGTGTCGAAGGGTAAGATTTCGGACGCGTGGCTGGCTGCTCAGACGGTGCTTGAAATTCATCTTCGGCGAACTCATACTGCATGACTGCATCATCTCGTTTGTTGTCGACAGGAACGCGAAGTTGTCACCCCAGTTCGCGGTGCTGGGCAAGGACGGCGCGAGTCCGCAGAAGATCCGCATCGCCGAGAGCATCCAGCACCCGGACTACAAGCGGCCCGTCGTCTACAACGACATCGCCCTGTTCCGCCTCGAGCACGCCGCCAAGATGAACGACCACGTGCGGCCCGCCTGCCTGCACACCGGCCCGCGCCTGGAGACCGGGGACGTGCCCATCGCCACGGGCTGGGGCCCCAGCGAGTTGGGTGAGTCGCGGCGCGGCGCGGGTTCGATACCCGGCCCGGGCGCACGTTCCAATTTGATTCTCATGCGTTTCGTTTGGCAGGGGGAGATATCAGCGAGAACCTGACGAAGGTGGCGCTGCCCGTGGTGGACCACGGCATCTGCGACCGGGAGTTCTCCACGCCGCGCCCCACGACCGCGCTGCCGCGCGGCATCCTGGACGAGACGCAGATCTGCGCGGGCGGCGGCAAGAGCGACACGTGCCAGGGCGACACGGGCGGCCCGCTGCAGGTGCTGGCGCAGAGCCCGCACTGCATGTACCAGGTGGTCGGCATCACGTCCTTCGGCAAGGCCTGCCAGTCCGGCCCGCCCGGCGTCTACACCAGGGTCTCGCCCTTCGTGCCCTGGATCGAGCAGCACGTCTGGCCGTCCGGCCACGTCGCGCCGAACCAAGGCAAGGTCAAGTAGCGCGCCGCCCACTGTGCGTAAACAAGTGTAGAGCAAATTCCCTCTTATTGAAACACGAAAAACAAAACATTTGTTTGGTAGATAACTTTGGCGTTGGCTTTAAAAATGTGCAGGTGACGAAGTTTTTTTTTTGCTGGTTGAACGTTGCCTTTGAAGTACGGTATTCGTTCAGAAAGATGTTCAGTTGTTCTCTGTGTAATAAACGATGTGCAAGCATTGCGTTGCGTGTGACCTTTGCGCCTCGGAGATAGGCCGCCCTCCCCACCCTCCCTCCGCAGGGCGGTTCGCAGATACCCCTGCACTCTGCACCGCCCGAACGGCGATACTCCCCACCTGATGGACCGCAGCGCGGGGACGGTGAAGGTTGGCTGCGGTGCGCGCCGCGCGGACCGGCCGCCCGGCAGGCGGGCAGCACGGGCACAGGCGTGCGTTACGGGCGTGCCTACCCCAGCCTCGTCGGGCGCTGAGGCCGCCGACTCCGCTGCCGCCAGGGGAGAGAGGGTGACCGACGGTACCGCGTGGCGCGTCGGCGCCAGGGCCGGCCAAATGGAATCCCTCTTCTTGCTTTCAAGGGCAAGGGTCGGTTTTTGACCACACTCAATCGGAAGATTCTGTGGATGTCTGCTTTCCTTGCATCTGATCACTTCTCGCCCGCCGTCCTCTCACTCGGCCATCTATGCACCTCCGTCATCACCAGGACCGGTTCTGCAGGTACTTCGAAAAAGTGGCCGTCATCTGTCTTCCTCCTCATAACTAGAAGAAACTTAGTTAGTCCAACTGATTTGTAAGTTTTTGATCTGGCGGCGATAGCTAAGAAAAAGGGTAACCCTAAGAACAACCTTTCATATTTCTGGAAGTAACACAGAACATGTCACCCCCTCCCCGCTCAAATAAAACGATGTTGAAGAGAAAGAATAAGTTCAAGGCGTGTATAATTCGCTATCTATTTCTCTTTCTTTCTCAACAAGCATTTGTCTCACATCTCAAATCGACTGCGAGCGTAGCATGGCTTCAGGCCGCGGTGCTGGTGCTGGCCGAGGCCCTCACCATCATGGAGGCGGCCCTCAGCGAGTAGTCGCCCCGCCAGCCCTCCCAGATGATGCCCCTGTAGTACTCGTTCTCCTCGGGGTGCGTGTGGAACTCGCCGTTCAGGTTGGCTTCGAAGCAGCTGCAAAATGTGAAGCGGACGCTTGAGGTGAGGGGACGCCGCATCACAGTGGGCCAGAAGACCGGTGGAGGCGGTCGAAATCACGGACGCATTTTGAGCTGCAGAGTCGCTAATTGGAACTCGAACTGAACGTGTGACCCAACCAATGGATTGCTCTCCGAACGAGGAGTCCATTGGTGGGGTCACGCATTCGGTTCGAGTCCTGTGTAGCGACTCGAGGGCTCAAAACGCGTCTTGAGTTTTGGCCGTCGGCGGCAGTCTTCTGGCCCACGGCGCGCACGTGGTGGAGCTCCCAGCGGCACGCAGCGAGGCTCACCTGTAGAACCACCAGCCCGCGCTGTAGGCCGGCGCGCACGGGCAGCAGGCGGGCGCCGAGTCGTGGTTGGCGTCCCACGTGCTGAACGGCTTGCCGCTGTGCGCCGCCAGCGCGTCCGTCGCGTTGCCCGAGTACTCGGCCACGGACAGGCGGAACAGGGCGTCCTCGTCCGCCACGTGGAACGAGCCGTACTCCGCCACGGCGTGCTCGCCGTCCCAGTCCCACAGGTCCACGCGCAGCGTCAGGGGCCGCGCCGCCGTCAGCCTGCCAACACGTGTCTAACACTGCCCACGCCAAGTACGTCGACGAGGATGAGAGCCCACCTGTGCAGCCATTTGTTGCCGATCCAATACTCCTTGGCCGGGTCGCCGAAGCCCTCCCGATAGTCGTTCCAGGACCGACTGAAGTTGAGTCTCGGCTCTCCCCAGTCGCCGCGGCGATGCACCACCTACGGTGAGGGTTCCAGTTACTGTACTCGCGTGGACTGGAGCGCTGCTCCTGAGAACCACGCCACTTCTGTCGTGGGCGTTGGCCCCTGAGGGCGGCACGGCGGCAGCCTACGCCGCGGGCTCCGTCATGGTCCCCTTACCGTCCAGCCGCCACCGTCCGTGTCCATGTCGCAGTAGACGCGGCGGCCCGCCAGGACGTACTCCCCGCTGCCACCCTTGACGTCAGCGCAGTCCTGGAGCGCGGCGGCGTCCACGGCGGCGGTCACGTTGGCGTGGGGAGGCGCACTGGGGCGCGGCAGGGCCGACACGGCGTGGATGACGTGGGTGAGGGCAGACAGCGCCTCCGCCACCCTCGCGCCGCAGACCAGGCCGACGTCCACCGCCGCGGTGCCCGTGGTGTTGACGGGCACTGCTGTCGAAGCCAGGGCAGAGGCGAGAACCGAGTCCGAGGCCACGGTGGGCGAAACAGTCTCCAGAGAAGAAACACTTCGTTAAAGAAACAGTGGAAGAAACAGAGGGTTAGGTAATAGGAACAGTGCGGAAAGTACTGGACAGCTGCTGTGCTGATCAATCCGGTCCAGAAGTAAAGAAAGATCGTCTGTGGATATAAGTTGAGCACAGCAGCTGTCTAGTGAGGCGGCCGTGGCCAGTCGAGGCCATGGTGCTGGCGTCGTGAACCTGCTGAGCTCGGCCTCGGCGAGGAGCGTCGTCCAGGGCTGCTGCGTCGTCGAGGGTTCCGGCGGTGCTGCCGTCGCGGTGCTGTTGCCCCCACCCCCCGCTGTTGGCTCGGCCTTGGCAGTGTAGTTACCGGCCCTACTGGCCGGCCTCCGCCCCCGCCGACCTCGGCCGCGCTTCCTCGATGGGCAAGGTTGCCTTCCCTGCCTCTGGTGCACGTCCTCCACGGCGTCCGCGTCGCCCTCGACCAGGGCGTCGTCGTCGTCCTCGTCGTCCTCGGACCGACCGAGGGGACTCTGGTCGAACAGCACGTCCACCTGCAGCGAGCCAGAGTCAGCGTGGGCGAGGCCGCGAGACGGGTCGTTGACGCCGTGCACTTGGATGCGGCTCACCTTGGCGGAGATGTCCTTGAGGATGTCCAGCTCGTCGGGAGCGGCGTGGCACCGCACCACGAGCCGGCCACCGCCCTCGAGCGCCAACTGCGGCCCCTGCCGCCCCTCGGCCGCCCCCGCGTTGCCGCCATGGCCGCCATGGCCGCCTTGGCTCCACACCTGGGCTAGAACAAGCCAGCCGAGGTCAGATTCTCCATGCGGCGGGTCCGAACCGGCCCTTCTAGCCGATGCTCCCTTCTTCCTGCTCCACCCTGCTCCTGCTCACCCTCCTGCCGCTCGGCGTGCCGCTCGGCGTGCTGCTTGCCCGCCTGCTGGAGGAGCCGGTCAAGCTTCCTCTCCACCGTCCGCAGCGACGCTAGTGCCCCCCTGGTGGCGAACTGCTGCACCACCGGCGACTGGCCGGCCGCCACAGCGGGGTCGAGGCGCCGAACATCCAGCCGCAGCTCGTCCACGTTCCTGGACAGCAGCTCCAGGCGCTTCTCCGCGTCCTCCAGGCGCGCCGCCACCGCCTCCAGTCGGTAGTCCAGCGCGGGCAGCGAGGCCAGGCGGGACTCCAGCGCCGACAGGTTGTCCTGCGCCCTGGGTCAGCAGAGGGAGGAAGCGATAGACACAGTCGCCGACGTTGCTCCTGCTGCTGATGCGGCCCTACCTGCTCAGGAGGTCCATCTTGGAGGACAGCGTGTGCATCTGCTCCGACCAGGCCGCCACGTGCAGCTGCAGCGTGTCCCACACGTGCGCGCGCTCCAGGATGCGCTCCACGTTGGAGTGCAGGCCGCTGAGCGACGTGGCCGCCGTCATGATCCGCGAGTCCAGCTTGCCGACGTACAGGTCATTGAAGGCCCGCAGCTGCTCTGCAACCGCATTGCCGCATTTCGACATTTGGACGCAGCTTCGTTCGAGGGCGTCGCACAGTGGGCCAGAAGACCGGCGCAGGCGGCCAAAACTCTAGACGCGTTTTGAGCTCCAGAGTCGCTAAACAGGACTCGAACCGAACGTGTGACCCCATCAATGGATTCCTCGTCCGGAGAGCAATCCATTGGTGGGGTCACACGTTCGGTTCGAGTCCTGTTTAGCGACTCTGGAGCTCAAAACGCGTCTAGAGATTTGGCCACCTCCACCGGTCTTCTGGCCCACTGTGCGTCGCAGCGCGGCGGCGGGCTGTTGGGTCCCTGACTGCTTACCGGCTAAGTCTGCGGTCGTGGAACGGAGGTCCGCGACGTCCTCCGCGTACCCGTCCGGCGGGGGGCCGCCCCTCGTGGCGCCGCCCCCGACGGCCCCGGCCCCAGTGCACCGCGGATCTTGCCGGTCTTGCCCGAGCCCCCCTGGAGGGCCGTGGCTCGGAGCGTCGGGAGGCGCGAGGGGCTGTGGCCGCACCGGGCCGACGGCACCAACGCCAGCGCATCCCTGGTGCAACGAAGAAGGCTCTCTACACTGAGAATGAAAGGCTCACTAATCAGACTAAAATTTTGGGCGAGGATGGTTTCCTCACCCAAATTTGGGTGGTAAAGAATAGCTCGCCCCAAATTGGGTACTGATCAAGACTCTTTCATTCACAGCAGCTGCTTGCCGCTCCACGTGCCATTTTCTAAAATGTTGCTCTGATCGCGATAAGGCTTCCCGCCGCGTCTGCCATTGACCCTCTTTCGCGGACCCCCGACCCCCTCTCCTTATATTTTTCCCGGTCAGTCGTGCGCGGAGCAGAGACCAACTATGCTAAAGGGGCCTCGAGATGAGGATGAGGCGGTCCGAAATCTCTCCAATTGCTTCGATGTCTAGATGTCGCTCCACCGAGTCTGGGGGATGCGATGCGGTGCTGCCGTTGAGGGCTGCAGTCCGTGAGACTCGTCTAATGCAGTCACTCACGGTACTCATGGTCCCTCACGACACCTCACGGCATGACAACCAAGGTGGGTCCGACCTGGTCCACCTGAGCTGGAATCCGGGCAACCCTTCGCTTGCAAACACGAGCACGACACTCTCCAGGAGGCCCCACGGTGCCACCACACTGCCGAGGCGCGGGCCAAGGCGCGGACTCACCGCGATGAAGGCGTGCAGCAAAATGAGAACGCTGGCCGCCAACATTTTATCTCGACTTCCGAAGTCGACTTCCCCGACTCTACGCTGCTGGGCTGCGGCCCGGGGCCCTGGGCTGGGCTGGCCCTCGGTCCGGGCCCCTCGCTCGGCTCGCCCGGCACAATCTTCGGCTGCTTTCGGCAGAGGCGTTAATCTTCGGGCGTTTCCGGAAGGCATCCGCCGCGCAGTACCCATTGCACGGCCGTTCGGCGACGGCGATTGAGTGCGCACGCGGTCCTCGCCTCACCCAACTCGCGCAGCCGCGAGCATAGGCAACCCAATTCACACTCAGTGCAACGCAGCGCGGGTCGCCGGGTAGGTAGGCATCCCCTTCGACATGACTGACGTTGACCCAGTCGGGGAATCCCCTCTCCATGGTTTTGGACGACAACCCTTTTGGGTCGAGCCTGTAAGGAGATGTGGGTGAAAGTGGCTCAAAGCGCTGAGAAATGATATTTCCGGTGACGCAAAAAGCATAGCCATGGCTTTATACTTGAGAGGTTTCTTTGGGAAGGGTGTGACATTGAAACAATGGATTTATAATACACAAATTTTATTTTCTTTAGATTTGAGAAAATGATTAAGAACAAAACAATGCATATGAATAGTTCCACATTATATTTACATTACAATAACTTTACTCCATCATTCATACATGTGTCTGGTGTACAATTTATTTGGTGACAGTATAAAAGCTTGACAAGCGACTGAGAAGTTTAAGTTAATGACAGAGCTGGTTGGATGTAAACTGACCTAATATTTAGCTTGCATTGATAACATTGTTCACCACAAAAGAATTCTGATCGCACATAAATAGTATTACAAACTAAATAATTTACATGAGACATAGGAATGATTGCGTTCAGAATGCCCTCTGATACCCATTAGCAGTGCAAGCAATGCAAGCATCAAATTAAACTATTTACAATTGCAATAAAACATCCAAAAAAGTGCACAGGGGGGAAAAGGGGTAAAATATTAAGTTTTAAGAATGATAAACTCAATTCTGAAGCAGAAACACTCAAAATCCAGATGTCATAGAACCTTTTCATCAGTCGCATTTCAAGTCAATTTACAACCAAGATGGCTTGTCCCACATGAGGACTCTTGCTTCCCTTTACCCTGTTACTACCATCCATCACAGGAAATGGGTTACAAGAAACATATATCATGACAAATTTATTTAAGAGCCCCAGTTGATGCTTTCCTCACAATTTACAAATAACTTTAATCAGGTGATGTTTAGATACATGCTTTACTAACAAAAACAAAATTAAAAGAAGGTTCTAGAGAGTCTACGCAAGCTGAAAATGCCACCTTCAAAGACCTACCATGCAAAGACAGGGAACAAGTTCATTACTTGAGCAGAGTCAAATTTATTTGTCTGAATTGTTTATACAGACATCACACTTTACAAAATGAATGATATACCTTAAGCACAAGAGGGAAAGGAGTAACTAGTTAAACCACAAATAAATCACCAATTTGAACAGACAATTGAAGGGGACAGAATATTTTTTTAAATTTTTTTTCCAATCATGCCACAATACTGGTATTAATTTACATAGTCCCCAAGCAAATTTCCTGCGGTGAAAGGAACTTGAAGTTCATACAATCCATTGTTATGTTCCTGTTATCACATTGCAGCTAAAACATCTGTTACCTTTGTCTAAAATCAATTTGCAGTAAATTAAATTTTAAAATCAGATGCATAAAATACTTCAATGAAACAGAATACTAAGTGTGCCATTTACAATAAATGTAGTTAAACGTGTTTTAACCACCTTTAAAATATATTATTTTCTTTGTCCAATATCTTTTTATTATTTTTTGAGTGGAATTTGTCAGGGAAAAGAAAAGTTCACTTTCCGTTGGTGGACAAAGTGTCAAGAAAGAATGCTGTTTGTGGGCTAAGAGAAGCAGAACATTAATTACTGTACAGCTGACAACTAAAATACTGTGGGAATCAGATCAGTCACCTAAACTCATGCACCACATCCACATACACTGCTAAACACCATTTCGAGCGCCACCCAGAAACCTGCATATGGAATACATGGCACGAACCAATAGTAAACTGCCTAGAAGAAGCCTGGAAATTCTCAAAAGTGTTCACAGAACACGAATGTATGTACATCTCTCACGGTTACATTGTACAAAGTACTAAATTTTAAGAAAGAAAAAAAAAGAAATAACTCTTTAAACATATGAGTGACTTTGAGAAATCACAACAGGAACTATGTGGCCTTAGAAGAAGCTATAAAGATAAAAACTTACAAACAGGTGAAAAATGATTAAAAATTGTACAGAGTGAGAGGGAATTACACAGGTAAGAATCTCCAAGGAAGGAACATTGGAACGAGCCAAATTGCATGGAACAAATAAGTTAGGGACAATCAGTCTGGTCTACTGGGGGCAGCAATGGTGTTCAGAGCTGATGCCAACAGCACATGGTCTGTGGTACATCTCTCACGCCAATATGTCAGTCTCTCATACAATACAGATTCTCCTCAAACTGATGCTATCAGTCCTAAACACTGGAACTGTTTCAGCATGTAGCAATTTCATCACTTTAATTTACCCTTAAACCTAAATAAAAAAAAAGTGAGGAAGAAATAAGATGGAAATAAAAAGGACAAGGAGAGGGAAAAAATAATAACTTTTGTCTGATATAGACTACATGCTGAAACTTCCACGTTCACAAAAATTAAACATGAAAAAAAAATTACCCATTTATCATAAGGGTCTTGTTACAGAATTTGTACTCTTTGAATGCTTTACGATGTTTTATTTTACAGTAATTCATCCTCCTTAAAGTATTTATTTCCCTACTGAACAGAGAGGGAGGGAGATCTGGCACACACACAATGCAGTGAACTGCTTGCACTAAATTGTCAAACTTTAACATCTTCAGTATCAATGTTGTGCCAGATAACACTTCCAACTTATCTAGATGAAGATAAGACAAGAGCCACCTGTTTTTTATTATCTAGATAACGTAAGTATTATCCATATTTTGATCTAGATAAAAGACAATGGTTTCCTACCTACGTAATACCTCAGACAGAATTCATTATAAGTCAAGGCTACAAACATCTTATATACCTCTAGAAATAATTTATGACAAATGTAGAACGTGTGCCATTGACAGTTAATAATCAACCTACAAAAGAGAAATGGCTAGGTTTGAAACAATAAAAGTAAAAGAAAATAACCAGACTACTGTTATTCTGAGGCATTAGTAATGATTCTAGACTTTATAACACAATTTTATTTTATCTAGATGAAGATAGAGACAAAATTATCAATTAATTTACCTAGATAAAAATGCTGGAGAGCAACACGCCAACCAGATATTTACCTAGACAACTGTATCTAGATAAAGCACAACACTGTTCAGTACAATTCACAAATTCCACCATCTACAATATACTTTTTTTTATTTAGCAAAATTTTATGTTTTGTTCATTTTTTTGTTTGTTTTGTTTAAAATTTTCCTGCAGCAGAAACACTCAATCCCAAAGAACTAGACTTGACTTGTGTGCGTCTTTTGTCAAACGGCTGTACACAAGCGTAACTTTGCCTCCGGCCCTTGTTTCCAACAATCTTTGTTCAGTTTAGTGAGTCATGTTCTTGCGAGACATGTCTCATTTTGAGGATAAAGTCAATCCTTCATGTCACAGCATTATTAAACTTATCTTAAACAATAAAAAAATATGTCGACACCGAGACGGAGGATGCCGCAAAAGATCTGCCTGAGCGCTGCATGCTTACACAAATCTTATATGACAACCTACGGGGCATGCTTCTTTTCCCTCATGCAAGAAAAGAAGGAAAAGAAAAAGTCATTAACTAATATCAAAGAAATAAAATAAGATCAGAAGAATCTGACCTCAAAATCTGGGAGGGTCATGACCTGCAGATAAAATATAAAGATTTATATTCTTTAAAAAAATATGTACAATTTACATAGTAAATAATTTACATTGTAAAGGCATTGCAGGCATGCAGCTGACTAGACAGATGTGTTGTAATATACTGTAGTACGTTGGTGCGGAGCGGCAGATCTCTGCAGCGCGCCCATCTCATGGTATTGTCACTTCCCCCTACAAACAGAAAAGAACAAATGTAAGTAAACTAGGTTGACTACAATCACCCAGAGTTAACATACTAGCTGTGTTTCGACAAAGGGTTCAAACAATACGGCTGCCGGCAAGGCAGGATTCGTATGCCCACCCGCCAAATCCATTTTAAAATGGTTTGTTTTATATCTGCACTGTTTTTTTTTTCCGGTGTCGCTGATTGTGAGTGCCTCCACGGCATGAACCTACCTAGACCATTTCCATTTCCGACAAAGTGAGTCGTGAAGTGGACATGGTGACCCCGCTGTCGCTCGACGCACTCTGGACGCTTGAGTGGTCGTCTGTGTCGCTCTGGGTGCTCGTGTATCCGATCACGTCCACTTCATCTGCAAGATACAGGACAAAACAATTAGAGGCCCGCTGCGCCAAGATTGCTACGGCACGCCTAAGGCACGCCACGCCAGGCTGCTGGCCGCGCTGCTAGGGAGCAGCAGGCTGATTCCGAGCACTGCCGTCGACGCTGTCTCTCTCTCGCACTCCCTTACGGGAATGAGAGAGACGTGCAAGAGAGACAGGTGCTCGCCATCAGCCGGCAGGGAGCGCCACTTGCCTGACTCCGAAATGGACGAGACGGACGACGACACCGAGGACGTCGACGACACGGTGGACGTGGAGCATTCGCTGACGGACCGCCGCTTCGACACGTTGGTCGGCTGCATGCCGTGCATGGCCAGGGCCGTCGCGTACGAGCCGCCCAGCTGCTCCAGGCGTCTGCCCAGGTAGCGTTGTTCCCGCCGCAGTTGGTCCTTGTGCGACGAGTTCTTCCGCTCCTGACGCTCCAGGGTCTGCAACAAATCGGACGCCAACGGGGGTCAGCACACTCCGACTCCAGACTCGGCGTGCCGGCGGGGCCCTGCGGGGCTGCACAGTGGGCCGAGGCGGCCAATACTCTAGACGCGTTTTGAGCTCCAGAGTCGCTAAATGGTATGCGAACCGAGCTTGTGACCCCACCAAATGGCTTGCTCTCCGAACGAGGAATCCATTGGTGGGGTCACACGTTCGGTTCGAGTCCTATTTGGCGACTCTGGGGCTCAAAACGCGTCTTGAGGTTTGGTCGCCTGCCTGGCCCATCGTGGGCTGGCGGGGCCGGCGGGGCCCCTGCAGCGCGAGAGGGTCGGCCGCCCGGACAGTGGGTCTGCGCGCCGGGCCTGCCTACCTCGCACGGCTGTTGGCCAGACTAATATAACCCAGCTGCACCCCTTCCCTCCCCCGCCCCGCGTCTCGAGAGTGCCTGGCAAATTGTTTACTCAGCAAACGGCAACTACCAACAGCTATTCCAATCAGGCATTCCTCCCTGGCCAGTCGGGCCGGGCCCTCGGCGGGGCCCTCGGCGGGGCCACTCGCTGGGGTGGGCGGTGTGGGCGCCACACGCTCAAAAAGAGTGCGGGTGCACCGACTCGGTGACGTTCCGACGCAGCGGCCGGCCAGACTCACTCACCTTTATGAAGCTTTTGGCTTTGGTTAACAGCCCCAGCGTGGTGTGCCGGGCAGAGTCATTTCCCAGCGGGACGATTTCTTTCAGCTTCTCCAGGCAATTCCTCAGGTGCGCCCTCCTGCAAACAGACAAGCAAACAAACGTTAGCACGTTAGAGGCGGCCGGACGGACAGACAGACAGACAGACAGACAGACGGACACACTCGCGCAGCAGACTGACCTTCGACTTTACGCGGCCGAATCAAACGCAAAGAGAGCAGGATCAGAGGCAAAAATAAAAGGGACAAGAAAACGAGCCCAGGCCAGGCCAGGCCGGCAGTCCGGCCGAGCCACGCCAAGCCGCGCACAAACAGTTGAATAAATAAGCGGGGAGGCAGCTAAACGGCGAAGCCAAAGGCAGCCAAAGGCAGGCAAGCCAAGGGCTCGCCTTTCCCCGAGTGCAGTCACGACTCGGCTCGGCGCTTTAATGAGCACTGAGCACTCCCTTCGTGCCCCGCAGCCCGCAGAGCGCGCAGCGCGCAGCCCGCAGGACAAGGCGTCGCGTCGCGTCCCGGACGCCCCACGCCCGCCAGGCACCGCGGCGCCGCGGCCCCAGCGTCCCGTCCCGTCCAGCGACCCCGGCCCGGGGACGGGGATGCACCGGGGCCGCACTTACAGGACGCGCAGCGCATTGACTTCGGGGACCTCGCGGCTGCGCCCAGTGCCCAACAACATGACGCTTTCGAGGTCGCTCGTCAGCGACACCTTGCGGTGTGCCCGAATGTGGGCCACCCCGGCGTAGTGAAAACCAAAACCGACGGCAGAGGCTGCGCGCCGCGGAGGCCCTGGCTCGCCCTGGCTGCAGAGGCCCGCAGTCTCTGCCGCCGGTAGAGCGACAGGGCCGACAGGGCACGGTGCTCGCCTTGCACGGCACGCCTGGCCAGCCCGGCGCGGGGCACAAGCACACCACGACAAGGCATTGCCAACAACACAAGACCGGTTTGTTCTGTTTCCTTGCTCCGCCTTGCTTCGCTTTGCTTCGTTTTGTTTCCGCTGCATACGATGCCGATGCCACCGAGACCGAGGCGGCCGGTGCGGTGCGGTGCAGCGGGGCCGCGCCGTGCCGTGCGGCTGGGCCATGCAACCGGAGCGCGGCGGCGCAGCCTGCAGCCTCATTCCGAGAGTCGTCTTCGTCGCTCTGTCTCTCTCGCACCCGTACAGCACGCCACACGAGTGCGAGAGAGACAGGGCGACGACTCTCGGAGTCAGGCCGCAGGCGGAGCCCAAGCCGGGCCGGGGCTCCTCCATCCCATCCGCCAGCGACACCGAGAGGCAACGCGTCGCTGCTCCCCGTCCCCAGAGCCTCCTGCACGACGGCCAGCCCGTCGTGTTCGTGGCGTACAGCGTGCTAGCCGTGCTAGCCGGCCGGCAAGGCGATTGTGGCGTGGCCCGCGGTTTCGGCTTTTCGGCCGCCGCGGCCCGCGCTCCACTTCGGGCGTCGTCAGCGTCAGCGACCGGGCCATCTACGTGGCCCGCCACGCGCCCCGCCACGCCCCGCGTGCCCGACTGACACACAGACGGGCACCGCCACCAAAGTCGCATGCGCGCCTCGCCCTCGGAGCCTCAAGCAGCCCCCGGCCGCGGTCCGCGGTCCCCGACAACAAGTGTGCGGGGCACGAGGCACGACAGAGACTGTACCGCGGTACACGGCGAGCACGGCGTGGTGCACGTCCACGTAGGCAGCGAGGCCCCGCCGTGCCACGCCGCGCCACGCCGCGCGACACTGTTGCCAACCCTCTCGGCTTCGCGCTTCGCATCGCACTCTGCCTTTGCCGCTCCGCTCGATACTCGCAGTGGACTGTGCCTTCCCTGCTTCGCCCGGCCGCGGCGCCCGCCCTCCCTCTCCGCGCCGCACCGCCCCATCCCCGTTGCCGTTGCCTCTCGCTCGTTCACCCCGACCGGCCCCGCTCCCTCTCTCTCATGCCATACACACATACACATATAATAGCCGCAGCTCTCCGCGGTCAGCGCGACGCGGTGGCGCCTTTCGCCTACTCTACTTAACAACGTGCGCGAGAGGCGACCGCACCGCCGCCGCCTGCATGTGTGGCGGCCGCCCTGGCCACGGTCTTTCCACGCCGGCAAGCCAAGTCCCCGACGACAACGCCACTGGCTGCAGGTGCGGCGTTTCACCCATTGGTCGGCAGGGGGCATTGCAGTCGCGGCAGGGGCGGCTCAATTTATGGGGGCGAGAGGGGGTGGGGGCGGTGCCACTACACTACACTCCACGCAAACCAGCCGCTAATTAAAGCCGAATCAATCGAGCGCGCTGCCTGGCCGTCGCGCCTCGGGCAGGGCTTCGGGCAGGGCCGCATGGCAGGGCGGCAGCGCGGTGCGACTCACCACGCGGTCGGGGACTAGGCGGCATGGCGAACTCACCGCCGCACCACGCCGTCGACGCGGACGAGCACGACGGCGGCTGGTCGTTGGTCGTGATGGAGGCGGCCATGGCGGCCATGGGATGGGAGGAAAGAGGAAGGGGGGAGTCCGGGGCATCATCCTTTTCTTTCCTTCCCCCGCGTCCGCGTCGTCCACGTCGTCCACGTCCAGCCAGCCTCTCTCCTCCGGGGAATCATCTCGACCGCGACTCGCTCAGGGCCCGCCAACCCGGCCGGCCGGGGGTCCGGTCCGAGTCCCGACAATCTGGCCCGCTCTCCGCTCTCCAGCGGGTCGAGCTGCCCGTCGAGGGGGACACCGAGGGGCCCCGCGCCGCGCCGCGCCGAAGCAGCCGCGACAAACAACGCGGCAAAGGTGACAGTCGCTTTGCATTCGAAGGTTCGGAGGGGGTCAACCGAGCCAACCACAACCGCCAAGCGCGCGGCGCGGAGGCCCCGTGTCGTCCCCTCCACGCGACGACGGCCGCGCTAACGCCGCAAACGCCTTCTAGAGTGCCAATCGGGTCGGCACTTCGACACCGGCGGAACAGCCCAAAGAGCCGTCTTCGTCGCTGTCTCTCTCGCACCTCTACGGGACACCCCATGAGTGCGAGAGAGACAGGGCGACGGACTCTCGGAATCAGTGCAGGCACAACGGGGCGCCGAGCGCGGCCGAGCGGCTTGAGCCACGAGCCGCAGGGAAAGGGAAGCCATGACTTGCAGCAAGCTTGCAGACACGTCGACACGTCGCAATACGCCGAGTGGATGATGCTCGACGCGGCGCGGACGGACCGACCGACCGACGGACGGACCGACGGACGACCTAGGCCGACCTACCGCAACGTGACGACACGCGCGGGACTCTACGCGAGCGACGCGCGACGCGGCCAGCTCAATGACCCACCTGAACACACTTGACTACAAACACACAAAGGGTGCGCGGCGCACCCAAGGCGCTCGAAAAACACCTGCCGGCGGGGCGACACGCGGGGAAGCGCCACGCCGCCGACAAACATTGACGCGCCAAACACAACACGGCGACGGCGTGCGCCGCGGACGGACGGACGGACAAACGGACGCAGTCTGTCCGCAGTGCTGCAGCGCGGTGCGCCCCGAAAGCATTTATTGGTCCGCGTGCGAACTGCGAATGCAGCCGCCACACCAGTGGCGGAGGGAGTCAGCCGCACCCCTCGCTCTGTCTCCCTCGCACCCATGGGGTTTGCCGTGAGGGTGTGAGAGCGACAGAGCGAGGGGTGCGGGAAGCGGAATCGCTCGACTGGATGTGACCAGGACGGGACGGGACGGGACGGGGCGTTCGGCGACGCAGATCAATGGCGACGGCGACGCTCAAGCCCGGCAGCACCAAGGCAGCGTGCCCAGCGTCGTCGTGCTGTAACGTGTAACCCCACCGCCAGGCCGCCAGGCCGCCAGCAGCGGGAGAAGGCGCCCCGCGGCCCTGCGCCCGGGGGGAAGGGGGAAGCCGGCCAAGTGACACTTTCGGGTGTAAAGGGCGAGGCGAGGCGAGGCGAGGCGGGGCGTCCGGGCCAGGGCCGAGCAGGCCGAGGGCGCCGCCGCCCTCCCCCAGCAACGCCATTCTACGACGCTGCCTGCTCCGCCATGGCGGGTGCACCCTCGGCTCTCAGGGCGCCACCACACTGCCACCGCCGCCACACCGGCCACACCACCGCGCGGCCTGCTGCTGCTCTGTGTAGTGTAGTGTTCACACTTCCGCCGAGGTGGCGGAGCGTGGCGGACGCCTTCCCTGCATGGCCTCGCCCGGCCCGGCCCCGCCCGGCCCCGCCGCGCTCCAGGTAACGGTCAGCGAGCAAGGGCCCGAGCGAGAGCCCGAGGGGCCGGCCGGCCGCTGTGCCGGGCAGGCCCAGCCCGCCAGGCCCGGCAGGCAGGCCTCAAGAAGAGGGTCCTCGTCTCGTCGGCCCGGAAGGAGGGCAGGGCCGGCAGGGCCGGCAGGGCCGGCAGGGCCGGCAGGGCCGGCAGGGCGTCGTCGTCAGCAGCGTCGGCAGCGCATCCTCTCACCGACACGGACACCGACGCGGCCCGCTGGTCGGCTCATTGCTCACTGCACTGCGCGCATCACATGTCCGTGCGCCCGTCCACTGCACCGTGGGAAAAACAATTGAAAACAAGCGTGTGTGCGGGGGCGGGGCGGGGCGCGGCGGGGGGAGGGTCCGGAGGTCACCGTCGTATGCGTTCCCTGCTGCCCTCGCGCTGCTCCGCTCCACACGCCCGCACCCGCCATGGGGCCGCCGGGCCGCCACTGCAGACAGACGCACTCCGCCTGTTGCACCTGCCTGGCGACCGCGCAGGCCGCGCGGCAGTGCGTCGATTGAACGGGGCGCACAGTGGGCCAGAAGACTGGTGGGGGCGGCCAAAACTCTAGACGCGTTTTGAACTCCACGTCGTTAAAGAGGACTCGAACCGAGCGTCTGACCCCTCCAATGGATTCCTCGTTCGGAGAGCAATCCATTGGTGGGGTCACACGTTCGGTTCGAGTCCCATTTAGCGACTCTGGAGCTCAAAACGCGTCTAGAGTTTTGGCCGCCTTCACCGGTCTTCTGGCCCACTGGGGGGCGTGGCGGCGGCCCAGCGGGTGTAGTACCGCGCCAGCACTTAGGTGTAGTGTAGAACCCGGTAGAACGGCGCCGCCGCCATGCGGGCCGGCCGCTGCATGTACCTGCCAGCCACC